AACGAGCCGTTGTCCCCGGCTTTACAGGAAGGCGCGGGGTCGGGGCTGGTTGTCTGCCGCCCTCGGTGCCCCCTTCAGCAGGGCCCTTCCCCTCGCTGCTGGGCATGGTGCCACCCGCTCCTCCCCAGTGCCCATCCTGCACCTCCCGCCTCCTCCGGCAAAACCGGCTTCTCCCACGGAAACTGGAGAGGATCCAGAAGTGGCACGTAGGGGTGAAACGCTCTCCCATCGGGCTGGCTTCGCTGCACCTCCAGGGGATGGAGGGGGACCTTCTTCCAGGGTATCTCAAAGCTGCCTCCGACCCGCCCACCAGCACCTAATTCCCGTGGGTGGGCGAAGCCCCCGGACCCCCCCGCACTGAGGGGCTGGCGACCCCCATCCCACCCAGGCTGCACAGCATCAGCCCGTCTTTCCCAGCCAGATTTTTCTCACCACCCTGGAATATTTCTGATTGCTTCCTAAATACGCCCCTGCACGTTAACCATCGCAGGTCAGCGCCTCAAGCTGGCTGCGCTGCTCTTCCCCAGCACCCACCGGGAGCGATGAAGGGACTGCCAGGCCAATGCAGGGAGGAAGTGCGGGGCAGCCGGCTGCGGCGCAGGGCAGAGCGGCTCTGGGGCCGTCGGCAGCTCCGTGTCCCCCCGCCTCAGCCTGGGGGGTCTCTGTACAAAATCACTTCCCGGTCCTGGAGCTCTTGATGGGGAGCTTCTTTAATGGCACTCCTTCCTCGACGCACTTCGTTCACCTTAAATATATATATCTCAATCGAGAGGCTTTCCCCCCAGTCCTGCAGGTCCTCGAGGGACAGCCCAGCAATGCGCTGACAAAGCAACGACAGCCCTTTCCTGTGGAGTCTCTCGAGCAGCCTCATGCCCTAATCCACAGGAATATTTCTCACACCCAGATAAACCAGGTGCTCAGCAGATGGAACCTCCAAACAGGCTCAGCCTTTCCACCTAGAAAGACCCCTTCCGTCTTATTTAAAGTGACTAAAATTGATGAGGATGATTTCTCCCTCTAATGGGTTTATTTTCTAATCCAGGCTCGCAGGGCCAGCGCTGAGAGCTGCGGGAGGGAGTTCTGCCTTCCCCAGGGGAGTCTCCTTGCGAACACCCACGGCTCCCCCGGCAGACCCCACACGAGAGCCTTCCTCCCCTTCCTCCCGTGGTGTGCCCCCCCCGCCCCTGGGATCAGCCCCTCCGTGACAGCCGCGATGGCATTTGCTCCCCCTGCCCTGCTTGGGCCCTTCATTTGACCCTGCAGGCTCTGCTCGCGGCCGTCCGCCCCAGGGATGCGGGGAAAGGCAATGCCGGTTTGGGGGACAGCGGAGCACAGCCACCCATTTCACCCCAAGCATGGTTTAATCCCAGAGAAAGGTGCCGGGGTGCCGGGGCTGCGGGCGTGAGGCCATTCGAGGTTGTTTCCCGGGACCCTACAATAAATACGGAGTGTGGACAGGTGACACGGTGACAGGGAGAGGGAGAGATTTGTCTCCTCCTGGAAACATTTGAAGCGAGTAATTTATGG